GTTTTGACGCAAAAGATCAACCACTAATCAGGCTTTTTGCATTTGTCAGATACTGGAGAAAAAATGGGAGTACAATGAGATAGTACATCAGCTGTTTGTAGACTTCAAGAAAGCCTATGATTCAGTTAGGAGGGAAGTCTTGTACAATATTCTGATAGTTTGGGATACCCATGAAACTAGTTAAGCTGATTAAAATGTGTTTAAACGAAACTTATATTAAAGTGCGTATAGGTAAACATTTGTCTGATAAATTTCCTATCGAGAATGGTCTAAGAGAAGGAGATGCTTTATCGCAACTGCTTTTCTACTTTGCTTTAGAATATTCCATTGGGAATCTCCTGGAAATCGAGGTGGGACTGAAATTAAACGGGACACATCAGCTGTTGGTCTATGCCGATGATGTGAATCTACTGGGTGATAATGTAGATACCATAAAGAAAAACACACAAACTTTAATTGACGCAAGTAAAGAGTTTGGTCTAGGAGTAAACACAGAGAAAACTAAGTATATGTTGCTGTCTCGTCACCAAAATGCAGGGCAAAATCATGGCATAACGATAGGTCACTGATGTTTTGAAAATGTGGCACAGTTCAGATATTTGGGAACGACGATAACAAATCAAAACCTGATTCAGGAGGAAATTAAGAGGCGTTTGAACTCGGGTAATGCTTGCTACCATTCAGTCCAGAACCTTGTCTTCTTGTCTGCTGTCCAAAAACATAACATTAGAATATACAAAACTATAATTTTGCCTGTGGTTCTGTATGGGTGTGAAACTTGGTCTCTGACATTAAGGCAGGACCGGAGACTGAGGGTGTTTGAGAACAGGGTGTTGAGGAGAATACTTGGACCGAAGAGAGATGAAGTGAGAGGAGGTTGGAGAAAACTGCATAATGAGGAGCTTCATAACTATTATTATTCTTCGCCAAGTGTAATTAGAATGATCAAGTCAAGAAGGATGAGGTGGGCAGGTCATGTAGCACGAATGGGGGGAGAAAAAGAATGCAAATAGGATACTGGTGGGAAAGCCAGAAGGAAGACAAAGCCGTAGGTGGGTGGACAATATTAGAATTAATCTTAGAGAGATAGAATGGGATAGATTGGATTGATCTGGCTCAGGACAGGGACCAGTGGAGGGCCCTTGTGAAACGGTAATGAACCTTCGGGTTCCATAAAATGCTGGGAAATTCTTGAGTAGCTGCAGATTTGGCTTCTCCTCAAGAAGGGCTCAGCTCCATAAGTAAGCAAGTAAGTAAGCTGGCCTAAGCCGCGTAGTATTTCTGAGCCGCTAACACCAGACGCTGGGACCGCGTGTTCGAATACCATTTTGAGGTAAGGATGTATATAAGAGTTTTTTTATGTTGTATTATCCTGTGTATGAAGAGGCCTTTCTACAGCCCGATCCTCCATCCAAGAAATTCTGTGGGAATATCTGAAGGATTCAGAGAACCTACTCCATGGCGGAAGAGCAGGAGTAGAAGGAGGAGGAGGAGGAGGAGAAGAAGAAGACAAGGAAGTAGATGGCACTGATTTCGTTGTGCAAAGGCCATTTCGTAACGACTGAATGAGTTGGTCATGTTCATACTGGCCTAACTTATTCTCCATCCTTGAAATATTGTTCTAAATTTGATAAAACTGGAAAATATACAAAGTGCCCCAGGAGGAAAGGTCAGTATTCTGGGAGTTCATAGTATTGGTCATTTTAAGCAAAAATTGCATATGTACATGTGTCCTATTCAAAACAGTTTCCCGAGATAGAGCTATTTCACTGTATAACACACCGTGCAAGCGACCAACACGCCATGTCCCACGCAAGTTGCAAAGGGTACTGATGAAAATGTGTTACATTGTGAACTGTGCAAATTTTGTCACTTGAACAATAAATACCGGTATTAGAAACCGTACGTAATATCTCTCTTATCCACTCTACAATGAAACAGCTCTATCCCGGAAACCGTTCGGAATAGGGCACATGTACATGTACACCTTTTTGCTTAGAATGACCAATACTATGACCTCCCAGAATACTGGCCTTTCCTCCTGGGACACCCTGTATAGATGCAAAGTCTAAATAAATAATAAACATCACCTGTGTTACAGCGGAAAGGTGGGCTTTATTTTCGATTAATGTCTTACACGAAGTTACAAAGCTGTAGAAAACTGGTACGTTAATCGTATTGCAATGGGTTATATGCAGCAGATTACAGTGGGCATTTATTTCTCCGCAGAAGGTTAAAATAAGTAGATATTTACATATCTAAGTTATGGCAGTAAGCCCAGATAAGATTGCAATGGCTTTCGGGATCATCGTATTAAAAGGACAGTGGTGAAAGCTTTGCAATATGGTGACCATGAACTTGACCGCCTCTTTAGCTGATAGGCACAAGGTCTAACAAATTCTGCCACCAACTAACTAACCATTAATTAATATATAGTTCTATCTTCTGGGATATAACACCGTGTAGTCCGTTGAAAGACAATCGACGTTTCAGAGGAACATATCTCTCCCATCTTCGGGGTCGAGTAAACCAAGCAAGAAACCAGAGTGAGGTAGGTGGCAAGTAGAGCTCCTGCCTAAAGATGGATGCGATTTGTTCCTCTGAAACGTCGGTTGACTTTCAACGGACTACACGACGTTATATCCCAGATAATAAAACTCTTCATAGAACCTCAAATCCTACAGACTAATTAATACCATGTAAGATTTGAGGTTTTTACGGCGGTGACTATGAAGAAAGCAGTCTTCTGGGATGTGGCACCGTGTAGATGTGGTGTTAACCGACGTTTAGGAGGGAGGTATCGCCTCCATCTTCAGGGTAGAAGGAAAAATAAGAAATCTACCCTGAAGATGGAGGCGATACGTTCCTCAGAAACGTCGGTTAACACCACATCTACACGGTGCCACAACCCAGAAGACTGCTTTCTTCATAATTAATACCATGTTGCAGGAAATTTCTTGAAAAACTACCAGTTGCTGAGCTGTTCAAGAAATTCTAAAACTTTTACGGAACCCGAAGGTTTACTATCTGGCACTCCAGCCCACACCCGTATATACTCCACTTACCTAAGATCCCCCCCCATAGGCAGCCTACGCAATTTACTCCAGCGACTTTTTCGAGTAGAACTATATTCACTTATCTTATATCCTCTTTGGGTGCTACGTGTCTCGCCCATCTTAACTTTTAATTAATCGGCCTAATAACAGGACTATTTGGTGTGCAGTACGGATTATAAATAAGATCTAAAATTTTGTGACGATGGTGTTTTAATACAATTAATGTGTTTCTGGACATTATCCATCGTCCTGTTTTTATTTAAAACACAACGTTTCGGAGACTAGCTTCAGCGATTGGGCCCAACTGAGCAGGTACCACCCGAAAACGGTGACGGAATCCAGTCTCCGAAACACTCCCGAAGACGGAGACCGAATCCAGTCTCCGAAACACAATGTTTTATATAAAAACAGGACCACGGATATTGTCCAGAAACACATGAACTGCACAAATTATGAAGTTCCTAATTATGCAGTGTGCTTCTCCCTTCTCTCAGCTGCTCCTCTCCTATCTTAGGTCCAAACAGTCTACTTAGCTGACGCCGTGTAGTCTGGTCAGAAAAGTACTGTCTCCGTCTTCAGGACGATACCAGCAAGATGCAAGCAACTGGCACTCAAGATTTTTGCTTCTTGCCCAATGTTTGCTTAGCACTACGTTCCTCCGAAACGTCAGTGACCTGCACGGTGCCACTTCCCAAAAGATCGTAGATAGTCTTCATAGTCACCGCTGCGAGGACCCCAAATTCTACCCTGCGCTGCGCTCTCAAGACACCCTCAATCTGTGCTCTTTAATCCAGAACACCAGACTTCTCTTTGCAATACAATTTTATGCTTGCTGGACGCAACACAAACATTAAGTGAAGTTAAATTAAAGACAACTAACCAAAATTTATTGACAGCATCTATCACATCTTCTCCCGTCCCCTCCGGCCACAAAAATTGGATCTGTTGTAGAGTTAATATTGCATCCGCACATGTGCAGTAGTTAAATCACCTTGACACGACTCGAACACACACACAAAAAAAAAATACTTCTCAGAAGAATTTGTGATACCTAATTTCGTAAAAACAGATTTAACTGGAGAGTCACCAGGACATACAAATGAATAATTCAGTGACCCCCGTCAGTCCATAATTCCTAAAACTAAGTACACGTGCCGGCTACGTGACACTTCCCAGATATAACCTCAAACCTTCACGATGTCGCCAATTCTTAAAACACCGACACATAAAGAAAAACGTTGCGTATAGAATTTGTGGATAATTTGTGTTTAAAATCAACGGAAATGCAATATACGTTTCGTGCTGCTGCTGTTGTTATATTTCGAAGGGGATAAGTTGCATATATATTCAACCTACCATACAAAACGCCTGGAAGCATCGCCACCACCAAGACAGTCACCATATTGGTATTACAGAGGGCATGAAATTACGAACTACGAAGGGGTTGTACATGGCGTCTGGTGGTAATTCCACTGAAATCTGTCAACTGGTTGAAAAGTTATTAGGAACGCAGGCAAAATACGGGGAGTATGTTAGAAGCGTGTTTCTTTTGACAAATTTCAATCTGTAAATGAACGTTTCATACGAAAGGAACAAGTGACCTGCGAATTTGTGATACAAAAGATAATTTCCCTCGCGTGGTTCTCCACAACAGTTATAGGTACCACCCACACTGTAAAATTAGTCATTATTTTTCTTGGCAAAATTCATTCTTTTAACGGATTCATTTGTCGAATAATGAAAAATAATCGACTGTCAGCTCTGGTCTCACATTAGTGAGACGCATTTTTCAGAAAGTCAAGCAAATTACCGGTACATATTTCCCGTTTGCTGCAGATTACGTCACATTCATAATCTTATCGTCATTTCTAGTATCAGTAACACAGGCCTACAGCACATCCATAAATATACCTACAGTAATTAATATATTATCTTTCTACGTACCACATCCTCCATCCAAATATCCATTTTGTCCCGCCAGATCAATTTACATAACTCTAATACACTGACGATGTACGGTCAAGGGACACTTATCACTCACACAGCACACTTTATACACAAACACTTACAAAACAGTGCACTTACAAGACATGGAACACTCTCGAATCAGACACCTGGCTGTAGAGGCGCGGAAGGCGATCCTTGCGTTAGGACGATATAAACCACAGACGAGGTTCTAGCAAGCGACAGGCCAGCCCAACCGCGCCTCTACACAGCCGGAATACAAACCACGTGTTCAGCCAATTCATTCCCCAACCCAGCGTACTCGCGTAAAAGTCGCAGGATCTAGGTTCGTCTATGCACCTGTTTCTCAACCCTTTAAAACAAGGTGGCTGGTTCGAACTCAAGTCTCTTCATTCCAAAAACACAAACATATACAATTTATCGATGTTATTCTGAAGGTATAACGTACGTTACAAATGTCGGAAAATAAACACCTCAAGAGCATACTTGGACTTAAAAAGGGGAGAAAGTAACTGGAAAATTGTTAATGTTACATAAAAAACCGCCCTTTATAGAAGTCACTTATTACTGTATTCTTCTTCTTCCTCTTCTTCAGTCTTTACAGATTGCGCCTCCTCGCTATAGCTTTCTCATGATAATGAAATGAAAACGGCTACGATACGTCAGACACTTAGCTCGGATAATGGAGACAAGTAATGCCTGCAGAATTTTGGTGAGGAACCTCTTTAAAAGTAACCACTTTGGAAGCCCAGAATGATATGAGATGATAATATTAAAATGGACTCTTCTTAGGATGTGAGACGGCTGGAACTGGTTCGTCGTCGTTTCCAGTTAACGGTTTTGGTACCGGCAGTTTTGAATTTTCAGTTTCTGCCATACATGAATTATCACAGTTAACAACTCTTGAGAGTTTCCTAGTCAACCAACTGTCGAATTATAAGTTTCTCGCGCTGATAAATTGATATTCAGAATAGTATGAAACGAGAGCACGCTTTTCGATATCACTTTTATATTCCGCCTTACAATTTCATTACGAAAATCCAAATGAAAACGTGAAACTGTGAAACACAATTGGAACTCATCAGCCATTGGCCTCTACTTATGTTAACTTTATTAGCTGACAACATACGTAACATAAAAGACAACAAAAGTGTACGAGTAAGTCTAAAAATATACGCAGGAAAGAAATCGTGTTTCATAACGAGAGTACGGGCAAATGAAGATATTGGGGAACTCCGGTGATTTCACCGCGTGGCCAGGTCCGCAGAATCTAGAACATTATTTTACGGCGGGTTTACTTCGGTACAAATGCGTAATTCGACGTACTGGCTTTGGTGGGCGGCACCTCATGCCCTACCTACAGTCCTCTTGTTGGACCTTGGTCGCTTTTTCTGTTTCTTAATCCTACACAGTCCGTATGACTCCTTGGACGGGGGATCAGCCCGTCGCAAGGCCGCTGCCTACACACAGAATAAACACACACACATACGCATGCCTTAAGTGGGATTCGAACCCACGATCCCAGCGTTCGAGCGAGCGAGCGAAGACAGTTCGCGTTTTAGACCGCGCGGCCACTGTGATCCGCGCCACCTCATGATCACTGTCCTTACTTCAGCACGCGCAGTGGGAAGTCGCAAATTGCGAGTTCCCGCTTCTGCATTCCTCTTTCTCACACGTTCTCAAGTTGTCATATGTTTATACGTCCTGATTTGCTTTAATTTGCGTGCACGATTAGAGCGAAGGCGATACTTCTGGCAACATAAGACCCACTTGACGCGCCTCACTACATACAGTAATCAGTAGGGAGCTTAGGCTCTGAATGCCGTTCTTAAGTGCCTAGGATTGCAAAACACGACGACTGCAAACAAGTATTCCTGCCAAGCGCTGAAATATCATTATTAAATTCGTTCTGATGTACCATTCGTTGGCCCTGAGCGACATAAAGAGTGATTCTAAATTACTGTCGGCGTTTCCGTGGCCTATACACGGCAACCCCGACAATACTTTAGAATCATCCTGCATTTCTGAGTGTGATGCATACTGCCATCATGTAAGGAGAAAATAGAAACCGTTGTTAAATAACCTGTATTTGGACGAATTTTACAGGACGTACAGCAGGAACGGTGTACAAGACCTTGAACGAATACAAGATTCCACGCCCACCACAACCACCCAATGGTGGGCCGGGATAGCACAGTCGGTATAGCGACTTGTTACGGGCAGCACGGCTGAGGTGTCGGAGTTCGAGTCCCGGTACAGGCAACATTTTTCTCCCCTCCAAGTCGAACAGACCTGTTGTAGGGCTCACCCAGCCTCCTATCCAATGGGTATCATTCTCTGTGGGTAAAAGGGCCGAAGCGTGAAGCTGACCACTCACGTCCAACTAGTGCCGTGGTCAAGATTACGTGAATCTACACATCCACTCCTGAATTAATTAAGCAAAGGGACAACTTTACCTTCATCTTACCACCCTGAAGGAGAAGTTTTAGAACGGAAATTACATTAAATTTGCCCTCGGAAGATAAGTCTAAAATTGTTAGTAGCACAACCTAGGTGCAGTCCAGTGCTCGGGAATAAAATGCACCCAAAATGAGGCGATGTTTTTCACACAGCAAACAAAAGCGGGAGAACAGAATCCTTCAGTCACGTACCTGGTTTCGGTGGTTTGAGTTATGATTCAGAATCAGAGTAAGGGCTGTTATGAGCGCCATCTCCTGTGATATAACGCCGTGTACTCCGCTGAAAGTCAACCGATGTTTCGGAATAATATATGAACTCCATCTTCACGGTCGAAGAATAAGCCGAGATACCAGCGTGAAACCAGGTGGCAAGAAGAGCTATAGATTAGCCGAAATTTCGGATTATATAGGCAGGTAAAAAAAAGAGGCCATGGAGGCCCATAGGTTGAGAGGTCAAGGATCCCACATTTCCTAGACAATCGGCTCACAGATGGCGCTGAGGTTGTCACCCTTCCTTGCCGTCCTTTATCCCCCCCGGAAGATTCCTGGCAGTCATTTTAGTTAGAGTCTGAGTCGACCACAGGGCCATAGTGCGGCTGGAAGAATTACGTCGAATTTAAAAATCCAATGATCTCATCGGGACTCGAACCAGCGACCTTCCGGCTTGTAGCATAGTGCCCGGATTATATAGAAGAGTGGGGGAAAATGAAGGATAGCAAGAGAGCTCCCGTTGGTTCGCCCGCAGGACAGAATGAAATCGCTAACACCCACCGCCACTCGCACGACTACCGAACAAACCAGTAGGAGGCAAGGACAGGAAATCAGGATATCCCTTGAAAAGGACGGTTTTGCTTGTCTAAAAAATCACAGGAGAAACGTAAGTTTGTGGCGGGAAGGGAATTGAGGAGGAAGCGGCAGAAGTCCTGTGAGTCGCAGGGCATATAGTGAAGGATGAAAGAGCAGAGGTAGTGGAGGGGAGGCAGCACACCTGGGCGGAGGCTTAGGGCTGATGAGTGTCCGGGAGCACGCGGTAGCGTAGTTGGTTCAGGCAATATGCTACAAGCCGGAAGGTCGCAGGTTTGATTCCCAATGAGGTCACTGGATTTTTCTGTTGACCTAATCATTTCAGCCGCAGTATGGCCCTCACATAGACTCAGCGTCTAACAGAGATGAGTACCGGGAATCTTCCCGGGGGTAAAGGGCATCCGGCGCGTAAAGCTGACAACCCCACCGCCATCTGTGAGCCGACTGTCCAGAAAATGTGGGAGCTTCGATAGCTCACAACGAAATGGGACTTCAACGCCTATTACAGGAATTGCTTAACCTTTACTGTTCTACACCGTAGCGACTAACACAACTGCATGCGTGCAGCTGATGATGTTCGCGTAACGCTCGAAACAAGCCGTTCATGGTGATGGTGCGAACGCTTAAACTTCAATACAAGTATTGCGTACAGAAACACAGTTACATATGAGAATTGTAGACTTTAATGTGGCCTTATCTCATGCCACACACAAATTCATTTTACCGACAGGAGCTTCTTTGTACAAAAATTTATGAAAGTTCCAAATGATCTTCAAAGGGGGTTATTTGGTGATCGATTTGCCCCAAAATTAAATTCGCCAAACTCTTTGGTGTGGGTCCTAAATACCTAATATTGGTCTAAGTGGCAATGTTCCTGACTATGTCAAGTTCAAATCTGTCGGAAGACAGGGGATCCTGACCGAGTTTCTTCTGGTTTCCTCAAGGCAAATATCTCAAGACCATGATCAATTCCCTCCTCATCCTACCAAGCTGACTGTTCACTATCATGGAACTATTCACTCTTTTCGGATATGGATCATGCGGACTGACAAACACCACTTCCACCTACACGTGTAATTACCCAACCTCTGATGTCACGAACATGGTTCTTCAGCAGGTTTATCATTCGATTCACTTGCGTCGTCTCGCCGACTGGTTTACTGATGCGATACGCCTCTTTCTGTTACGTGAATCTACCGCAGAGCGAAAACCTGTTTTACAGAATAACCAGGGCAAAGGGTAGGGGAGGCTTTCAAACATGACCACCTCAAATATCAGTCCGCGCAGAGAGAAGGCAACTGCTAGGACATTCTGACACAAGTGACTCACCATGCTCACCATCCCCTACAGCTCCTTCTTTCAGCCTTTCCTGTGTTTTGGGTTTTCCTGTCAGAACATGACCCTACTTCGTTGAACAAGTCGGACAATCATAAAACTATGCTTCATTCTTGTGTCTAACTTTGTCCCTGTGCTCAACTACTTAAACTCTACGCCATGAAGACGTATGTGGGAGTGAATGTATAGATCATCGTTTTCTTGGCCTCGGCACTAGTTGGGGGTGAGCTGAGCGGTCAGCGTCACGCCCTTGACGTTTTTCCCCCGGTACCCATCTGATAGGAGGCTGGGTGAGCCGGTGTGGACGACGTGGAGAAAAGAAAATTCTTTCCCATACCGGGACTCGAACTCAGACTCTTTGGACGTTCAGCCAGTAGCCACTCGGTATACCGACTGAGCTATCCCGGTTCCCTCCTGTCTCTACAGTGTGAATGTAAACAAATACCGAGAAGACAAAGAAACTGATGGTCTTGTATTCATCAGCCGGGAAGGCCCCGGTTCACACGACGTCTTGGTGTCTTGCATCCGGTAAATCTAATTAATGAAGTAACAGAGGACGTGCACCGCAATACAGCGTGGCGGTCACTCCTGTTAAACACGGCTCAGAATTT